ATGATCAATGCTACCGCATTTCAGGGGAAACTTGAGTGTCGATAACAAATTCCCACCGGAATGTTGGCCTTCTGAGAAGTGAACAAACAAGATCTCATAGGGAATTTGTGGCCATCTAAAACCAGTTGATCTTGCAAGACACTTGGCTAAATTCTTGTGTAGTTGATTTTAAAAGAAACTCCTCTAAACTTATGAAAACAGGGACAGATAGACCATTTGGCCCCTTGAGTCTGCTCTACCACTTAATAATGTGTGGCCAATGTGTTTGTGTTCGAATTCCACATTCCCATCTAACCCCCGATCTACCTTTGATTCGTCTGCTTTATAAGAATATACTTCAAAAATATTTAATGAGCCAGCCTCCATAACCTTGAGTAAGAGTTTCAAAGTCTCACAATCCTCAAAAAAAAATTCTTCTCATCTCCGTTCTGGAAGAGCAACCCTAATTTTCAAACAATGTTCTGAATTCATCCACAAGAGGAAATATCCTTTTTACTTCCAACTTGTCAAGACCATTCAGGATCTGATACACTTCAACCAAGTCACCTCTCACTCTTCTAAACTCTCATGGAAACAAGATCAACCTGTCCAATCTTTCCCAAGACAACTTGCTCATTTAAGGCATCAATGAAGCAAACCTCTGAACAGCCTCCAATGTAGTGAGATCCTTACTTAAATAAAGAGACCAAAGCTGAACTCAGTATTCAAGTTGTGGTCTCTCCAATGCCTTTATATCAAAAACGTAACATTCTTATTTTTACATTCAATGCCTCTTGGGGAAAATAAAAGGACAGCTTTCCATTAACCTTCTTGATTATGTGTTGTACTTGCACACTATTTGAGACTCATGCACCCAAGCCACCCAAAGCCATGTGCAGCCCAGAATCCTGTAGTCATTTACCCTTTCAGTAATCTGTTTTTTTCATTCCTCCTGTCAAATGAGCAACTCAACATTTGCCCACGCAATACTCCATCTGCCAGGTCTTTGCCCACTCACTCAATCTATCTATAGCATCCTGCGGCCTCACGTCTTCTTCACAAACCTTCCTATTTACTTCGGTGCCATCTTTGAATTTAACTAGCATGCCTCCGCTCACTTCATCCAAGTCATTGATGTAAATTATAAAAAGTTGAGGCCCCGCAGATTCCTGTGGGACTTCATTGGTCACATTCTGCCCAATCAGATAAAGAATCATTTATGTATATTTGGACATCTAGCAGTCAATCTTCGATTCAGGCTAATATGCTAGCCCCTATGCTTAAGCTTTTACTTTCCATAATAACCATTGATGTGGCACCTTATCAAACGCCTTCTGGAAATCCAAGGGCTGTATGTCTGCAGACTCCCATTTCATCCATAGTGCACGTTTATCCTTCAAAGCATTCCAATAATTCACTGAATGATTTTCCTTTAATGAAACTATGCTGTCTTTTCTTAATTACCTTGAGTTTTTCTTAAGTGCACAGCTAGAATTTCTTTGATGATCAATTTGAACATCTTCCCTAAGACAGGCCCAAAAGGTAACTGGCTGATGGTTTAAAATACCAGTCACAGGTCCAATCTTCTCCCAAACTGGTTGCAAACTTCAATCATTCTTGCATTTATTCAACAGTTCTTGCAATTATTTTGGAGGATGCAGCATTATTGATAGAATTTCTCCAGTTTTTGGATGATACACTGTTCAAGTCTCAGTACAGTACAGTAATGCAATGAGGAAAACTGCTCTGTAGAGCAGAACATTGTTGACTTGTAGTGGCCTTTGTCAAATATGTTGCTATAGTTTGCCTCCAAACTTGACCTAACAGCTAATCAGGTGTTGGACCATTTAATCAACGAGTGCCTTTTAAGAGAGATGGCTGTCAAAGAGAAAAGTTTGCAACATCCTCAAGAGTCTCTTGGTGGCAGAATATTTGATTCACCAGATTGACCAAGAATTATGTCAGGTCAACATTCAAGGAAAAGACCAAATTTCTTGCACGTGGAAGTGAACAGATCAAGTGTGGCTGCAAACCCTGTACAAAGTGGGCAAAGACTCTGCAGGTATCCCCACGCTGTAGCTGATGTATATCAATGAGTTGGTTCAGACTTTAACACAGACAATGGAGGTTAAATAGTTTTCTCTACCAAGTGGCACAAGTCATGAAATAAAAGGGACTTTTATGACAATTCAATGGACAGGGGCAATGTGAATACTAAACTTGTCTAGAATTTGACACAGACACTAATGACAGAAGGGTATTTTTGGAGCTGGAAGGAGGTTTGTAGTGGAGCTCCCCAGAGATCAGTATTGGGCAACATTCTCCTCAGGCTTCTGGTTCCGGAAGCTGCTGCTGTGCACGGACCTCGGGAGAAACATGGGTAGAGGGACCCTAGCCTTTCTGGATTATAAATTATCTAAAACTTGGGGTGCAGGACACAGTTTCAAATTTTTGTAGAAAACACAAAATTTGGGAGATTTGGAAACAGAGATTTTCAAAAGAGCACTGACATTGTGGAGTGGATGGATAGATAAGGTTCAGTGTGGAGAATTGCGTAGTGATGTGCATTTATACAAAGAACATGGAGAGAAAATATGAAAAGATACTATTCTAAAAGGTGTGAAGGAGCAGAAAAGACCTGGGAATTTTTGGAAATGTATGGTAAGATAGGACAAGGCAGCACGGTTTCGTCAAAGGGAGGTCATGCCCGACAAATCTGTTAGAATCCTTTGAAGAGATAACAAGCAAGTCAGACAAAGGAGAGCCAGTAGACATGATCTAATTTGATTTTTGGAAGGACTCTGACAAGGTGCCATACTGAAGGCTGCTAAATAAGAACCCCTGGTGTTATAAGCAAGGAATTGGCATAGATAGGGGATTAGCTTAATGGCAGATAGCAGTGGACATAAAAGGGGTCTTTTTCAGGATAGCAGTCAGTGACTGGTAGAGTTCTTTAGGCGTCCGTGTTTGGACCACAACTATTCAGGTTATACATTAACAATCTGGACCAAGGAACGGAGGGCATTATTACTCAGTTTACAGATGACACAAAGATAGGTGGAGGGACAGGAAGTGTTGAGGAAGTGGGGTGGCTGCAGAAGAGTTTGCACAGGCTAGGAGAATGGGCAAAGAACTGGTAGATGGAACATACGTGGGAAGGTGTTAGGTTGTGCACTCGGTAGGAAGAAGAGGCATAGACATTTTTCTAAATGGGGAAAGACTAGAAATCTGAAGCACAACGGGACTTCAGAGTCCTAGTTTTAGACTCTCTTAAAGTTAACGTGCAGGCTCAATTGGCAGTTAGGAAGGCAAATGCAATTTCAACATTCATTTCAAGTGGGCGAGAATACAACAGCATAAATGCACTGGGCTGTAGACTCTGGTAAGACTGCATTTGGTATACTGTGAGCAGTTTTGGGCCCCATCTATAAGCAAGGAAGGAAGTGCTGGCCTTGGAGGAGGTTCACAAGCATGATCCCAGGGCTGAGGGGCTTGTCATACAAGGAGCAGTTGAGGACTCTCGGTCTGTACTCAATGGAGTGTAGAAGAGGCAGGTGGGGGAGAATCAGATTGAAACTTAGAATACTGAAAGGCCTGGATAGAGTGGACGTGGAGAAATGTTTCTACTGGTGGGAAAGACTAGGACGCGAAGGCACAGTCTCAGACTCAGACTTAAGGGACGAATCTTAAGAATGAAGAGGAGGAGGAATTTCTTCAAGAATAATCCTTAGGCAGCCCCTTTCATCACACTCAAACTGTCCACACTTGCTCTCTACCTTCTCTCTAACTCTCCTGGGCCTCCCCCAAACTTCTGGCTAAGACACTGTCCCGGACTCAGGAATTTCGAATTTGCCGACTGCTTGTCATTCCAGTGCTGGGTATCACTAGCGATTGTAGTGTCAAGGATTACCAAGCTGCTGGTCAATCAGATGTGCCTGAAACACTGGAGGGTGCTTATATATTCTATAAAATCCTTTAAAGTGATCCACATATCTTTTGTCCAACAAATTTTGAGACTGACTCAAGACATTTGACAATACAGCATTTTTTTTGTTAAAAAATAAGATTTTGAAACCAGATAGTGGATATAAATTAGAAAATTAAAAAGGATTTCAACAATATTACACCTGTTGCTTGCTTCACATTTCTTATCCAGGTCCTGGTTTTTAAATCTTGAAGCATGCGTCTTTCAAGCATTAGTCATGTGAAAATTTCTCAAATATTTGCAAAATCCCATCATAAAGATTTCTAGAGTTTGCTTTGAATGATACATTCCGCCTGCCCCCACCCCTCCCCAACAGAGGAAAAAACAAGTAGCCAATTAGAATATTCTTCAAGCTCATTGCTGTTTAATAAACTGTAGAAGCATAATAGAAGTATTCTGAATAAGGAGCTCTAAACACACAATGATAGATATAATCTGCTGTGGTGATAATATAGTAACAAAGCCTTCAGCCACCTATTCTCCACTGGAATTCTAGCCTAAACCTCTCACCCTCATGATTTCCCCAAGCCTCTAGTTTTCTAAAAAATCCAATCTCTGAACAAACATTTAGTTATCTAACTCCCCACCCTACCCCCAAATCACCCCTTTCTCCATTCTATACCTTCCCTGTTCACTCCGTTTTCTCCACTCTTTTGATTTGAAGTAGATTTGGATGCTCTTTGCATTGAAGGCAATTCTAAAATGCAAGATACAGTTCTTTCACTTGCATTTACTTTGATGTATGTTGATGTTGGTCCTAGATTGGTAAGGGAATTAAATCAGAAACAAACAACCACAGTACTTAAACATAAACTGTGTACGCTAACTCAATGTGATAATGACAGCTCAGAAATATATCCAAGCTGTTTCAGCCTATCACAATTGGAATTCACTGTCTAAACAAAAACAATTAAGTAAATAGCAGGCAAAACAAATACGTAGAACAGATTAGAGTTGACTGCTAACTGAGTTTTAAGTCGTTCTATGAAAAAAAACTTCTGAATGAATACACATTTTACAAATACACGAAACTTACTCATTCCAGAACACTCTCTGTCACCATCCCATACATTCAGAACTGCATATCCAGTCAACAGTAAATTGATCAGGCTTTGGCTGAAAAAGACAAAAAAAAAATTCAAGATTCCAAAAGAAAGTGGATAAATAAGACAGGGAAGCAAACAATGCTAGTACTACTGTTTCATCACTGCCTACTCCTACCCAAACTCGCAAAAAAATGATAGGGGTAGTTTGGAAGCTATACATTGTACATGTTTCTTTCTTTACTATAGTACGTGCTAAATGTACTCTCTTTTAAATATGAAAATTTCAACTTGGGCTTAATTATTACAGGATCAAAATGTGCAAGAAAATAAAAGGTGGATGCTCTTGATGAAATATAGATTTCATTAAATTTAAGCAGAATCAAACAATTTCTCAATTTCTTTTGGAGTACTCTGACCAGCCTAAGTGAATTTATAAACGCATAACCTATGTAGTTGAGGAAATTAAACCAATGGGCTTGGCAGTTAAGCCCTTTCTAAATAATTTCTGATTACCTGGCATTGGATGGTTATTTGGATAGAAGCAGAATGCAAGGATATGGTATAAAAGGCAGAAGACTGACACTAGGCAATAGTGCTGATACAGGCGGAATGGGCCAAATGAGTTCCTGGTCTGCCATAACAAATCTGATATTCTGTGATGAACCCAAGATTAAAAAGCAAAAACATCCTCCCATTCCTTAAAAATGCAAAATGCCAGGATATGCATTGGCGATGACAAACCATAATACAAATACGTAGCTGTAGATGGGTGTCCAAAGAGCACCCCAAAATGTCATTCCAATCTTCATTAAGCAAATATTCAAGAATGTCTAAAAAAAAAGTAAAAGAATACGGCAGCATTCACAGACCTACAAACAAATTTAGCTGGTCACCCCATCAGCCATCTTCCATTTATTAGCAAAATGACCAGTCAACAGTGCCATCAATGTTTGTTCTCCAATAACTTGGTTATTGGTGCTTTCTTAACAATCTGCTCATTGGATTTGGGAGTTGTTTGCTAAGCCAGCATTTATCACAGATCCCTAATTTTCCTGGAGAAGATGGTGGCGAACTGCCCTCAAACCTCTGCAGTCCTTGGGGTGTAGGGATACCCCTGGTGCTGTAAGGAACAGAGCTCCAGGATTTAGACTCAGCAGTGAAGGAATAGTAATGCAGTTCTAAGTCAGGATGGTGTGTGGCTTGGAGGGGAACTTGAAGGTGGTGGTACTCCCATTTATCTGCTGCTCTTGTAGATGGCAAAGGCTGCTGGTGCTCAATGTGCTATTGGAGGTGCCTTGGTGAGTCATTGTAGTGCATATTATAAATGGTACACACTGCTGCTGCTGCTGCGAATCAGTGATGAAAGGAGTAGAAGGCTGGCAATGGAGTGCCAATTAAGCAGGCTGCTTTGTCCTGGATGATGTCAATCTTCTTGAGTGTTGCTGGAGTTGCACTCATCCAGGCAAGTAGACAGCATTCCACTATACTCCTGACTTGTACCTTGAAAATGGCAGACAGGCTTTGGGAAGGTCGCTACAGAATTCTAGTCTCTGACTGCATTTGAAGACACAGTATATATGAATCTTGTCTAGTTCAACTTCCTAGTTAGTGGAAATCTCTAGGATGTCAATAGTGGAGGATTTAGCTATGGTGATGCCATTGAATGTCAAGGGGCAACAGATTCTGTTTTGTTGGAAATGGGTCATCGCCTGTTACTTAAGTGGCATGCAACATCTATGTCACACAAGCTTCATGGAGCTTGACACCCTCTAAACGGGGCAATTTGCTAAATCGACAAACCCACCAGTGGATTTCATACCTATCCCCTTTAGTACAGGCATGCCTGTACTTACAAAACATATTACCTACACAGAACAGCTATATTATGAGAATACCATCAACAAGTTCTCTTCATAGTCATTCAATACCCTAACCTGGAGATACACTGCTATACCTTCAATGGGTCAGAAACAATTGCTTGCAATTACCTTCCTAATCTAATTATGCCAACACCACAAACATAGCAGTGGTTTAAGGAGGTGTCCATTAATACCTTCGCATGACAGATTAAGGACAAAAAAAATGTAGCCCTGCCACTGTCGCTCAGAATAAAAAGCAGCACAGCAGATCAACAGTCAGACAGCAGAGGTACAAGGAAGATCTGGTGAGATAGTGAATGCATGGATTGATGTCAGGGCAGTGCACAGGCACAAAGCAAGTTATGGGCCGGAGAAGATGCTGCAATAATTTTTCCTTACAAATATCAGATTACTGCCTCGACTGTTTTCCCAGACACTTCCTAAACTGACCACCACCTAACGGGATGGGATGGGATGGGATGGAATACACAAAAAACAGTGCCTACTCTTGATAACACTTGTGTCACTCCTGGCTACTTCTACAGGATAGTCAAAGCTACCTTAGTCAAGAAAATACTTCACTAATTTTACAATACATTAAAAATTGGCATTTGTGCAAAACGGATGAGAAACTACCTTCCATGACCATATACAGGATCAATTAGAGGTTCAGCTGCATCTTCAATTTCATTTCTAATATTTGCAATGCCCTAGAAGAAAAAAGAATGTAATTCAACTTAGAAAATAAAGCAATACATTTGTAAATTGGAAAACAAAGATTTAGTGCCAAAACTAACCCACTCATTGCTTGTAAATGAATTGACAATCTTCCAACAGCAATCATAATAAACTAAGGCAACAAATACTGCCAGTCTCAATCAATTACTTAAAAATATACAAGTTTGAAAATAAGTTAATAACTAGTTTACACTTAGTTCAAATACAAGGTGACATTTTATCAAATAATCATCCATTACATGCAAAATTTGCCATGGAATAATTTAAACTAGTTCACCTGGCCTTTGCTTAATATAAAGTGAGGAACTGCAGCAAACCAACCTTTGTTAAAATTACAGAATAGAGAAAAAGCAGGACTCCAAATCGATTCTTCCAAGTTGAATACTGTTCCAAAATTGCCTCTCTCAGTTCAGTTAGAGTTGCATATGTACGTTTTCTGAAAAATGGTTCAAAGACTATTCAAAAACTTAAAATTTAAGTTCTACTTAAAATTCATAGTACAGAAGTTATTATTTTCAGTAATGAGGCTTAAATACTATGAACAAGCAGATGCACAGGTCACTGGCTATCTCGAGTTTATATTCACTAATCTTGTTACAGGCTTTAAAAGAAATTGAATATCAAAGCACACGGTTTTCACCATGAATAATTTTGAATGCTTGAAATTATTACAACTCAAAGTTCTTACAGCTGCATGAGAAAAACTTAAGGGTATGAGAAGGCTAAACAACAGGTGAAGAAAAGAAGCTAGTTTAGACAAAATTGAAGATCTAAAAACCAAGTGATGGAAGCAAAATCAAGTAAGGCAACCGAGAGCATAAATCTGCAATATAATTTGGGAGTTAAATTCTTTGTTATTCATTCTAATTCTAGTCTTGAATTCTTAATTTCAAATTAGTAGATCGTAAAGGAACATTTATTTTTAAAATAACTCTGGAATGGTCAGAAATAAGTTGAAATAATGCTATATTATGATAAATTGCTTAAAATTCATTCAGTGCTAGGTACTTATCACATAAATTGGAAATGCTCGTAAACACACCAGAGAAGCCTTTAAAAACATTTGCAAGGCTGTAAGTTACATGTTAAAAAAGCATTTTTTTTTTTTTTTACAATTCTGAAGGTGGCTCCCTGTAGATCAATACTGCCATAACATTTTCCTGTTAAATGTTAAGAGTCCTGAGCAATGATCTAAATTAACACGCGTCATTTCTAAACAATATGCTCCCAGCAGATTTTTTAAAATTTAATTAAAATGAGTAATGGAGAGAGAACATGAACACAAGACCTTCCTTTCCTATAGCACTGAACTAGCATTAAAGATGGGATGAAAACTTTTGGCCTTCAGAATTTAGAAAGATAGCAGCTTAACTATAGCAGAGATACAAGTGAATTTAAGATCAAGAAAGTTGGTAAAGTTACTGGGAAAATGCTAACTGGAAACAAGTTGGATAAATAATTTTTCAGCCTTCCCTGGAGTATTCTTTACATCAATACAGTGGGACATCAACCCAACAGCTGTGCTGAAGACAGGTTATTTAAAAGGGTGAATTGTACTTCTGTTTGCATATTAATTCTGGTCCATTAATAGCTGCCTTTAAGAAAAAAGGCCCAGATATTCCAGACTTTACTTACAAGCCAAACTCCAGAAACATTTCAAGTTGCCAAGTGCTCCAAATTGCTGCCATTTGACTTATTTGATTTATTATAAGGTCTTGTATATATTACTGCTTGTTTCAAGACACTTTATAAAAAGCTGACAAAAAAAAAATTCTGAAATCCAGGCCCACTCTGGATAATTAATAATCGCCTAAAGCAGTCAGAATGTAGATGAACAACCCAAAACAGAATGTGTAGAATTTTTAAAAGCATACAAAAGATTGTATTTCTTGCATAAACAAGAGTCTCAGCTAGTTTCATTTAACTTGTGTTAATTTTAATATACCTTTTATAATGCACATTAAAAGCTTATGCAAATACAAGCACATCCATTTAGCTAAGATGCACAGAAGCAAAACATTCCCATCGAAAACAACGTAGATACACAGGTAACCATAAAACAAAAGCAAAAGCACAAGCACAATCAAGGTGGCATTTTGCAAGTTTCCTCAAATAAAAAACTGGAGCTAATGACCCTTTCCTCTCTCTTCCCAAATATCAAGACTTAAATTACTTTTCTAGACTTTATGAAGACTCCACTCAACGTTGATTCAAAAGGTTTCAGAGCATCTCAAACAATACTTAAAATATTTCAACCTGGACATAGCTTTCATGATAAAATTGGAAAGATTTCCCCATTTAACCCCTCATGTTAAATTTTCCTCACCGATCACCGCTGGCATTTAAAGTTAACTGTTTGCAACAATTCTTCCCAACCCTCACTGTTTCCCTTAACAAGTAAGGCAGGTGAGAGCTCATTTTCAGAGTAAAAGCATCCAATTTGAGAGTTAAACAAGGCTTGAAGATTCATATGCTTTAACTCAAGTGAGGAGACTCCAGGAAAACAAATGCCTTGAAAGAACTTCTTAAATTTAAAGTTTCCAGATGGGAAGAAGAAAAGTTGGGTGGTTTGGATTGGTTCTGGGAGAACTAATGTTGACTGGGTCGGTATTAGAGTAAATCTGTGATGGCATTTTCGGTAGTTCTAGGACTGCTTTGTTTTGTGGTTAAAAGTATAAGTTGCCCATAAAGATTGTGTTAGTCAGCAGTGCTTCTAGTTTGTTTGTCATAGCAAATGTGTTCAGCTGTGAAATCTTAAATCATCATTTCAACTATTAACTAGAAACTTGAATTTATTTAAAAAGTCATCAGTTTCAAGGACAAATTCCAAAATTCATATTTTAATGCAAATTCTGAACTAGTTATACAAATGTGAAATAGTTTCAAATTTTTTTAGCTTAGTAAAATAAATTAAAGAGTCAATATAATTTTGAAACAACTTTACAAAAAATAAATGAATACATTCCAAGATGACTACATTTTAAACCTTCCCCAACATCTATTTTTGCAAGACAAAGTAAATTAAGTTACACAAAAGGTTATTAACCAGATGGAAGGTTTGTCTGAACAGGGACAAATCAATAAAAATTTTGTCCATACAGACAAGCAAGTTCACAGACATAAATTTTCATAGGCTATGCCCATTTACTAGATCACAATCTGGGCGGCAACAGAGTGGTGTTAGAATTGGGTTTAGTGGCTCCGGGATAGGAACAGAGTCCATACTGCATATGGCAACGCAGTTACCTCTGCTGGAAATGCAAGTATTTGGACATGAGTAGCAGGCAACACCAAGTCAAGGGTCACACAAGGTTATTAGCACAAGATATTAGAACCATGTTCCAGCACAGAGCCAACAGCTTCATAAGGAGGGGAGAACACTGATTTAAGAAAAAAAAATATCAGGCGGTACATGAATAATTATTTTATCATATGAAAAAGTTTCCTAGTAGCAGTGAATTACTTACTGAATCAGTGCATGAAATCTCTCAGAGCCAAGCTCCTCTGCAGCCAAGGCAGCTATACATAAAACCAGATACTTTTCAGCACCACAAACAGCAATAAAACAAAAGATTATATGTTGCAAAGCTCTATTACAAAGCATTTAGTATTAAAGGTTAACAGACATTAATAATCAGCTGTTTATAATTTATTTAATTTAACAAAAGTATTAATAAACACTTATGGCACTAGCTCGGCATTTAAGCCATCACACGATTATTTCAACCAAGCTCTAAATCTAATACTGTTGTTGACAGCTACAAAAAAATTGACAGGATTACAAAAATACTTTCAACTTTTAAAAAATATGCACAAACCTACATTCATTCAAAGTAACTAATTATTAAGCAGAATAGGTATCACTCACATTTAAATTAATACACAAGGATACTTTAAATTTAATATTGTGTATTAAAGTGATGTGTCGGTATTGGGTGCAAAGTTTATCAGAGATTAGAATCATCACGTCTAACAGTATAACACTAATAATCTGGGCAATATAAAAACTTAATCAGTACATCAGAACTAAGCTTGACTTAAATGTCAACAACTTCATACTAAATTTAACAATTTTAACATCCTGACAGCCCAAGCCATTTTACAAAAGCCATTTTAAACAAAAAGTATGATGCTCAGACACTCATGGACATATTAGCTGATCAAAACTTTGGTCAAAGGGATAGATTATTAGGGCAGTATTAAATATGTCCATTCTGGCAAGTAGGTTCTGTAGCCTGTATGCATCAAAATTGTTCCAAACTGAAATACCTAATCACAAAATGCACAATCTTTTGGGAGGGAAGACATTTAGCTGAAGGGATCACAGCTGAAAAGGTCAGCAATTCATACCAACATTCATTGGTGCATCACAGTAGAAACAAAACCAAAGTATGGTCTCTATCCTCCGCACAGCAGAGGGTATGCCCATCACCTCCCCAGGCAAAAACCTTTAAACGATCAAAAAGCCAGAGTTATTTCTTACAAATATAAAATAGGAATGGGGTCACAAAAGCCTGCTCAGTCTTCACAGGTGTGAATTTTGATTTTCAGATATGAATTTGGGTGGGAGGAACAGTAATATCTGTAGAGAAACCCATTTATGCATGAATGACAGGCTTGAAGCTAAGGTGCAGAACTTCTTCACACAAAATTCACACATTAGTGCCTTCAGAACAGATGACATGAAAGCAGAGCTGGCAAAAAAGTGAACTGGCAAATCAGATTTAGGGGTAGGAATATACAGAATAGATACACCCAATGAGTAAGAAAATTTCCATGGGGAAGACCCACCAGCTGTGGTCAACTGTAAAAGTTAAAGACAGTATCAAAAGTAAGAATATAATTATGGAGAGGTATGTGGCAGGTCAGATGAGGAGATGGTATACAAGAAACAGCAAAAAAGATGGTGAAAAGTTAAGTACCAGAGAAAGCTAGCTAGAAATATAAAGAGTTAAAAGTTTCCATGGCTGTTTTAAAAAAATGTCAAAGTGAGCAATGGTCCTGTGCAAAATGACACTGAACAGTTAACAACAGAAAACAATAAAGATGGCAGATGAATCGAACAGGTTTGTTGGATCACAAAGCAATACATTCTGGATCATTTGCCAAAACAGTTTATGATTCCAGGATCATCCTGAAATGCAAGAAAGGTACACCAAGCTGTTTTTCTGTACTGCTTCCATTTACTTAAAGCACCTCATTCTTCTACTCTCACTTGACATGGGCAAGCAGCTCATTAACTTGATCACCAAGCCCTAAACAATCTGATCAGCTGCCTCTACTGGGTCCCTTCCTTCCACTAACCTATCACACTAAACATTCTCAAATTTCACCCTACCCTAACCTTATAATTGCACCTTTCTCCAGTATCTTTCTCTCAACTCCCTTCATGCCTTCTCAGCTCAGCCTATGTATATGACTCACCTCCTGTTCGTCTAACTTATTCCCATTAAATTGCTGATCAACTATAATGCCCTTACAGCCCCCAATATTAACTGATATCGTTAACAGTGCCATTTCATCGGGTACTGTTCCTGTCCTCTTCAAATTTGCTGTTGCGCTTCTATTTAACAAGAGTGGACAGGCTCCTCAATTCCCCAAATTTGAATACGTCACCTGTGAACGCTCTTTCCTATTTAAAGGATTTGAAAAAGCTGCTTCCCAAATCAATGCTCACCTTTCTCAATATTCGATGGTTGAATCCCTCCAATTAGGTTTCTTCTCTATCATGACATAAGAACTCAAAATTCACAAATGACATCCTATGTCTCAGTGACCTATGTCTCATCCTTCTTGACCTATCTGCAGTCCTTGACATTGTTGATCATAGTATCTTCTAATAGCATTCAGCTGGTTCTGCCCTTAGAACCTTCTTATCGGCATAAGTATAACCAGTTAAACACTGAAAACTATTCCAATATATTCCTCACTGGGCCTGCCCATCAGACCCTCAACAAAATGAGGTCATTCGAAATTCCATCCTTGCAAGTTGTGCTGTCACCACCTGGTCAGGCAACACTTCAGTTTTAAAATACATGTCCTTAACCTCAGGCACCTTCAAGACCTCACTCATGCTCATCTCTAATTTCATCCAGCCCCACAATCCACCTTCACTCATGTACATTAGACCTTTTGTGCATCCACAATTTTGATCATTCCATCATTGACCAGCTATCAAGGGCCACAAGCTCTAGAATTTCCTCTCCAACTCTACCCTCTTTCAAGATGCTTCTTCAAATTTATCACAATGACACAGGCATTGGGGCATGTGCCTGACCCTGGGTTGTTGTCACACGTGGTGAGAGAACAAAGGTAGGAAGTGGTGGGGATTGGTCAGTGAGGTGGGAAGAGCAGTTAGCTGGGAGATCAGATAGACAGAGCGGATAGGTGCACTCACCTATCACCATCCCACCTACCTTCCCCAGCCCCACCCCTACCCTCCTCTCTATTTATTTCTGAGCTCCCTTCCCCCTCCCCCATTTCTGAAGAAGGGTTCCAACCTGAAATAACAAGGTGCAGAGCTGGACGAACACAGCAGGCCAAGCAGCATCATAGGAGCAGAAAGGCTGACGCTTCAGGCCTAGACCCTTCATCAGAAAAGGAGGAGGGGAAGGGGGTTCTGAAATAAATAGGGAGAGAGGGGGAGGCGGATAGAAGATGGATAGAGGAGAGGATAGGTGGAGGGGAACCAAACAGGTCGAAGAGGCGGGGATGGAGCCAGTAAAGGTGAGTGTAGGTGGGGAGTTAGGGAGGGGATAGGTCAGTCCAGGGAGGACGGACAGGTCAAGGGGGCGGGATGAGGTTAGTAGGTAGGAGATGGGGGTGCGGCTTGAGGTGGGAGGAGGGGATAGGTGGGAGGGAGAACAGGTTAGGGAGGTGGGGACGAGCTGGACTGGTTTTGGGATGCGGTAGGGGGAGGGGAGATTTTGAAGCTTGCGAAAGCCCAATGGTATCAATGTGGATTTCACAAGCTTCAAGATCTCCCCTCCCCCTCCCCC